ACCATTTACCAAATTCCCAGACACCAGCTAAGGGCCAGTCCTGTAAAAAGAACCTTCTGAGGATAACGGCCTCAGGACTGTATTAACTCTCCTGTACATCTTTATTTTGTAACTCCTGATCATTGAGGAAAAACTTTCAAGATTTCACCACGATATTTGCTCTTAAATTTTTTGTAGATATAATTTGTTATCTAGATTAAGGAAGTTCTATTTCTGCTTTGCTAACAGATTTTATTATGAATGGTTGTTATATTTTATCAGAATGCTATTTCTGTATTTGATTATTTTTGTTTTTTAATCTATAATATTCTAATATGATTAATAATGCTTTGATTTTCTATTTTAAGTTAAACTTATATAGTGTATTATTATAGCAAAGCATGCATTTTATACTTTGCAGAATTCGGTTGTCTTATATATGTGTGTACACATTATTCATTCATTCATTTTGTGTTTCTCTTTATGAGTGAGATTGACCTCTAATTTTTCTTTTTAGTATCTCAGGTTTCTGTATCAATGTGATTCTAGTTTCACAAAATTATTTAGGAATGTTTCCATTTTGTTCTTGGATGCATTGGATTATTGAAATTTATTGGGATTATTTCTTCCTTGGGAATTTGGTAAAATTTATTAATGAACCAATATGGGTTTAGAGTTTGAGCCAATGAAGTACGTTCTTTATTATTTATGGGACTGGTCAGGTTTTCTGTGTTTTCTTGAGTCAATGTTAGTAGATTACATTTTTCTAAGAATTTGTCCTTTTGACCTAAATTTTCAAATTTATTGACATAAAGTTCTTCATAATATTCTCCTTTACATTTCTGTCAGTTACAGAGAGAGAAGTAGGTTAACATTTCCCAGTAGATAAAAATCAAAAGGATTTGTATGTTTCCCCTAAGGTTCAGTTTGTTTTGCTTTATGTACTTGAAGGCTAAATTATTAGATGCATACCTCAGGAAATATTTCTTCTTGGTGTATTTAACTTATGGCATTATGAGATGATCCTCTTTGTCTAGCTTTTTGTGTACTTTGTCTAAGATTAATAAAGCTATCAGGCCTTTGGTTGGTATCTACTTAGAGTAATTTTTTTCCCCTTTTACTGTAGGCCTTTCTGTATCTTTATGTTCTAGTTATGTCTTTTCTAAGTACCCTAAGTTGGGTTCCAGTTTTTTCCTAATCCGACAACTGTACCTTAACTCAATCATTAAGTTCGTTTATATTTTGATAAAATTACCTATATATATGACTTTAAATGTATCATCTTAGTCATCTTATTTGTTCTGTTTGTCCCATTTTTTTTCTTCTTGTCTTTTGAATTGAGCTTTTTTTTAGTTATTAAGATTTTTCTCTCCATCAGTTTAAAAGTCACATACCCTTTTTCTATCCTTTCCTTGGTTAAGACATTACAGCATGCATACTTGATTTACCAGTACCTAAAGTTAATCAGTATCTTAACCCTATCCCTAGACAATGCAAGGACCTTCAAACCCAACTTGACAAACATTTTGTGTAAAAGGATCAGACAGTAAATATTTTTTTCTAAGCTATATGGTATCTGTTAAAACTACTCAATTCTTCATTGTGGCAGGAAAGCAGTCATAAACAGTACATAGCCAAATCGATAGGGCTGTATTCCAAAAGAAAATTATCTGTAAAAATAGGCAGCAGACAGGATTTGGCCCCATCTTGCCAACAGTTACTTTAGAATACTTAAATTCTGTTTTACCCTCTACTAATTTTTCTTATTGTTTTCAGGTATTTTAAATTCTTTTTAAAAATTTTCATACAGTAATTGCTGTTTTATCCAGTCAATGTTTATTTTTGTTTATCTTCATATTTCCCGCTTTCTTTGCTCTTTATTCTTTCAGTCATCATCTTAGACCAATCAAGAGGTCACTTTCTACCTTATAAATCCCTTAGAATATCTTTTAGAGAGGATTTGCTGGTTGCCAGCTCTTAAATTAGTCTATTAGTTTTTGTTTGAATTTTTATTTATTTCATCTTCATTCTTAAATGATTTTTTCTTTGTAGAATTCTGGGTTCAAAATTATTTTTCCATTGTTTATAGCTTCCGTTGTTATTGTTGTAAAGTTATCTGTCATTTTTAACTGCCTTAAAATTTTTTTTCCCTCTGGCTGCATTCTTTTTATCTTTGGTGTTCTGCTTTTTTACTATAATGTGAAAATGCAGATTTATTTTTATTCATCTTACTTGACAGTTGTTACTTGACAATCAGTTCTGGGAAATTATCATCCCATTTCTGTTAAAATAATGCCTTTGCCTTATATTTTTTCTTCTCCTAAAACTACTTAAAAGTAGTTTAGGTCTCTTCTCCCTACATCTTACCTATCCTTTAACCTGTCTCCTCATTTTTTTTCTTCTTTTTTTTATCTCTGTATTGCATTCTAGAAATTTTCCAGTTTTATTTGGTGTTTTAAAAAATCCACTTAGGCAGTTTTTATAGTTTTTTTTTTTAACTACAAGTATTTCCAAGGTTTCTTTATTCCTTTGAATTTTACAGAGCTGTTCTGTAATTTATGTATGCTTCTTTTAAATTTCTAAATAATGGGGAACTCTCTCAACTACTGCCTTTTATCTCTTGGTTACTGCTCACTTAGCCTTGTTTTATGGTTGTTTATTTTTTATCGAGTACTTTTTTTTTCCGTAAAAAATTATTTGTGAGAATTTTTTGAAGATAAGACAAATAGGCCTTTTATTCTACCAGGTACTCGGCAACATTGCAAATCTGGGCCTATCTGAAACCACATTGAAGGTTTAAGATTTCTTTGACCACATAAGCAAGGCAAATCATTTCAAATCTGAGCAAGGGCTGGCCCATGACCACAACTTCTAATGGATATTTTTTCTTTTTCTTTTTTTTCCTGTTTTTCCTATTAGACCAATACAAATTTCCTAGCATGTTTTGGGAGTAGGGTTTATTTCTGGTAACCTTTACCCTGAGGGTATGTTTTTCTGTAACTCAGTTTCATTTAAGGAGGGTTTCTAGAAGATTACTGGGTCTTGACTCTGACTCTTTCGCTGAAGAGGTTGTTAAATGGGGAAGACTGTCTTTGCCAGAATGAGCAAAAGTGGCTTCATTACTTTGCTTACCTTTCTCTGCTTTCACTTTTCATTAAATATTGGTCTGTACTTTCCTGTTTCTGTCAGTTTTTCAATGCTATTAAGGTGATTTTAAAATATATTTTATTACACATATGTGTTTCCCCCATTATCTGGCATTCTTAGATGTTTTCTTTGGGAAGGTTGGTCCTCATAATCACTGCCATCACTGAAACTAAAGTCGCTTAAGTTGCAAAATTACAGGTAATTTCTGAAATCATTTTTATACTTAGCCAGTGATAGCTGGCCCTTCCTTTTCCTTGGCTGCTGACTTAATTGTCTTAAATCTTTGCATTGCAAATTATAGATCCCTATTCACTTAACTAAAAAACTTGCACTTATACTTTGCCATTTCTTTGATTAATCTTTCTTCCTTGATATTACTTTTTTCACTACTCTCTGGAGCTGACTAGTTCAGCTTAAGCAGCCCAGGTGGTCAATGGAGTAACACATGTCAGAGCCAGAATGTTCTCATATCCCATTTTGTACAGCCTACAACAGTGGCTACTGTAAGTTAGGCCTTATACTAGACAATGCCACAATATTTCCTGAGTGAGCTACCTGTCTAGTAATAAAAGCGTATGTATGTGTGTCTTATGGTATAAAACCATCAGTCAAAGAGAAAGAACTATGTAGGTAACCTGTATGATTGCCAGATGCCCTGTATTTTTTTAAATTCCCATGAAATTGTTCTTTTGGCTTGTAGAGCGTATTGTTAAAAGCCCAGGCTCTGGAATTACACAGATCTGGGTTTGAATACAATGTTGGCATCTCATTAATCTCATTGCTAAAATGGGGTAATAATAGTACCTGTCTCATGGTATTGTGAGGATTAAGTGATATGGCTGCTTAACACAATTTTTGAAATATAAGTATTCAGTAAATCTTTACTAATATGGTACCATTTTGAACCTTTTTTTATTCACTTTTGAAATTTAAGGCAATTTAAAATTAATTTGTCTTTGTTTTGGTTATTAGATGTACTTTATGAAAAATCGTGCCCGAAGGCAAGGTATTAACTTAAAACTTCTACCCAATGGATTCACCAAGAGGAAAGAAAATTCAACCTTTTTTGACAAGAAGTAAGTTTCTAAATTCTACCTTGGTATTTCAAGTATTTTGATTTCATCAGCAACATCAGTGAGGTTCAGTTTGCTATAGAGCATTACTACCCAAAGTGTGGTCTGTGAGGTATTTGTCATTGGTCTATCACAAGGTAACTATACAAATTTTGAAAATAAGCATTTAGAAACTTAAGCTAATTTTATGTCAATAAGCTAATTTTATATCATGTGACTCTAATACAAATTTGGGCTTGCAGTGTGTGTGTGTGAGTGACGTAGATACCATGGAAGTATATTTAGGGACAAAGCAATGAGTCAGAGCAAGCCACTGGAGTAGCTTGGCTTTTTATAATCCTTTCTAATTTGGGATTCCAAGTGAGGTTTCATGTTAAAGCCAGTGATGGAGAATAAAGAGTCTTGGGAAACTTTATAGTAATCTGTGAGTACCGATAATACAATAGATTAGTTTGCTGCTTTCTGAAAGTGCTGGGTCAAAAAGGCACCATATTAGTACAGAAGAAAACAGAATTCCAAAGTACCATAAGTAGCCCAGTAAGTTATTGGATAATACCTTTCAAAAGTCAAGATTCTGGATTTAGATTTTAAAAAACTGCATGAGTCCCTTTCTCTTCCTCTTTAGTATGTATGAGACCTTAAGAAAATTACTTCCTTTCTCTAAACCTCCTCTGTATGATATGGAGGTTATACTAGGTAAACGTAAGGTTCTCTTCCAGTTTTACTACTCCGTTAATTGAAAGACAAAACCATCAGAATTACTACTATTCTAATAAACCTTCCACCTTTTCAAAAGATGTGATATTATTAGAAGATGATGTTATCTGTTTGTTTTTTATGTTTCAAGACACATTTATAAAGGTAGTTTTCTTTTTTCCTGGTTAGCTTCCAGAAGTTAGGTAATGCTTTCCATTTACAAATATGAGATGAATCCTTTGTGCATTTTGAAACTGACATTTGAAAATTAACATAATTTGTTTGAAATTTAAGGTAACTGGTTTGTGCTTTCTCAAATATAAAACGTATTCCTGTTTGATGAAAGAAATCACTCGCAATGTCATCAGAGCTTAGTTCTCAGTGCTAAAAAGCATATAGCCTCAAATGTAAAATTTAGGTCTCTAAATACATGAATGTGTGTGGGGAGTTTTTGTTCAAGAATATTTCATTTAGTATATTTTCTAGGTTAGGACCCAAATTTCTACTCTGTAATTTTGGAACACCTCAGATCCCTGAAATGGCAAATCAGTCTTTTCTTACATTATGCCTCTTGCTCATGAATTTACAATGACTTGGGGTTGGTTTTCTTACATTTTTGCTATTGTCCAATGAGGAGATTAGCAACATAGTACACAATAGGCTTTACAGTCACTTTCTTAGCTTCTTTCACATATGTAAAATGGAGCTGATGATGATAGCTACCATGTAGAGTTGTGACCATTAGCATATTAATTCACCTGGACACCAACTGGAGTATAGGAAGGAATTAGCATGTAGCAGCAATCATAAAAATAATACATCTCATCATAAAAAAGTTTATAGGGAAAATAGCACCTATAATATCACTCTGTAGAGATGACCACTGATAACATTTTGTTTCCTTCTAATCATGCTTCTTTTATCGATTAATAAAGTAAAATGTAATAATAAATACTAATCCAGAAATATGAAAAGCCTGCATGACTTTCCTCACATTAAACATTATTAGTTTTTTCCCTTAAAAAATATGTTAAATATCTACCTCATTATTTTTAAGAAATATATTCCAACTATGACTACTATATACTAATTCATTTAATTATTCCCATATTCATGAACAGTTAGCTTATCTCTAGTTTTTAGTTATTACAAATAATGCTGTAATTAACATCCTTGAACAAATTGTTTTATGTGCTTATGTCTTTTCTGTAGGATTCGTTCCTAGAAAGCTTAATTATTGGTCAGAGACTACATGCATTTAAACTTTTGAGAGAAAGTCCAAATTGTCCTCCCCAAAAAAGTAACACTTTGAACTTTCATCAAAAAAGTATGAGAGTGCCCGTATTAGTTTTACTTGTACTTTAATGGAATATTATTAAACTTTTTTTTATATCTGATTATTAGGCTGAGCTTTTAAATTTTCATTTCTTTTAAGATGTACCTGTTTATATCTCATCTTGTTCTGTTATATACATTTGAATATTTTCACCAATCTGTTTATCCTTTAATTTTGTCTTCCACTTACTTTTGATGCATTTTAAATAGTTGTAAAAAAAAAAATTCTGTATAATTCAGAAATAATAAAATAGACTGGTTAAGAGCACAAACTGGAGCCAGGCTGCCTGGGTTCAGATTTCCTGATCAGCCACTTCCCAGCTATGTGATCTTAAGCGAAGCCACTTAATTACTTTGTGCCTAAGTTTTCTCATTTATGAAGTGGGACTAGTAATAAATTAGGGTTAAACCAGTTTTTATTTCCATTTATAGTTCTATATGAAACTACTTATTTAAACATCTAACTAACACTGAATTGTCTCTTTTTTTAAAAATTTGCTAATTTGCTTTTACTTAATTGTTACTAAGATATGGAATATTTGCCCACATGTTTTAGATTGATATCTTAAAATTTAAATGTAACATTTGACTTTAATCCAATAAGGTGATCTATCCTTCATAGAACCATTTTGGGAGTCAGTGCAGTGAAAAAAATATAACTTAAGTCTATGTAACTAAATTTTTCCATTCATTGTTAAACGGCCAATTATATTTTTAAATGGAAAATGGTTTTGCTACTAACTGAATTTAAAATGTCTGTATTCAGCTGTTGGATGAATAATAAAGGATTAACATGAGTTCCCAGCTAGTCGAAAGTCATACCTAAAGAATATTGCCAGTTAATCAGCTTGAAAATCTCTTTAATCACAAGATTTTGTTCATTCTTGTTCAGCATTTTCATCGATGATTAAGATCTTGATTTCTTACCTTGGCACTATTGACATTTTTGAACTAGAGAGTTATTTTTTGTGAAAGGCTATCTTGTGCATTTTAGGATAATGTTTAGCAGCAGCATCCCTGGCCAATACCCATTAGATGTTGGTATCACAGACACATACACATGCATATACACATATCCCTCTGTTGTGACAACAAAAAATATCTCCAGACATTGCCAGATATCCTTTGGGGTGGGGGCTGCAAGGGGAAGCAAAATCACTATTTAGAACCACTGATTTAGATGAATACAGAAGACATACTTATTGAACTTAATGCATGGCAGAATCAGGATTACAGAACTTTTGATTGCTAAAAGGTGGTATGTGAGTAACAACATAAATAAGGTCCTGCACTTCAGAGGAAGAATATGAAAAAAAGACACTTAGGAGTACCTTTTTTGGGATTCTTGTGTTTTTTTCAGCCATTCATACAAAAATGATCAAGATTTTAGATGATTGTAGTGTTATTTTTTGTTGGAAGGAGGGAAGAAGTGAATACTGAATTTTTTCAAAGAATTATCTTCACTTCTGTTCTGTTTTTAAGAGATTCATTTTCAGTGCTTGTTTTCAACTTTCAAAAGTGATAAGGCTTTGACTCAGATAAACCTGAATTTGAATATTGCCTCTACTGTTTGGTACACATTAGTTAACCTTGGGCAAGATCAAACTTACTGGGTTGTTGAGAAGATTAAATGAAATAATACCTAAAATAGTACCTAGTACTTAGTAAATAATGTACAGTGACAATTAAAGGTATATGCTTTGTTATCTGAAATCTTGGGGATAGAATACATTTACTAATAGGTCTGTGGCAGCATTGCATAATCAGAAAATACTATTTCTGCAGTAAAACCTACAAAAATTCACATTATAATGGGTAAATAGTAACTATAAATGGGCTCAGTCAGGTTTTGCTGCAGAAAGAGTTATTAAAAAAACTTAGTTTCAGAGGTTTGTGAATTTGGGAATTGTTTAATATGAGATTTTGTTCTGTACTACGATTATTATTATTACTCTCTGGATATTAAATTGATCCTTTGTTTAAGTAGCTTGAGCTATAATACAGTCAAAAACTCAGAATGAGCCTGTTCAGAATTAAATGTTCAAATGTTAACTTTTGATCATTCTGAGTGAAGAATTCTTTGTCGTGTTTTTGTAACTTTTCTATAAAGTCTGAAGTGATTTCAAAATCGAAAAGTTTTTTTAAAAAATTTAAATATCCCCATATGAAGTGTGACTAATATGTCACTGTGCCTGACTTACCTCTGTAGAACTAACAGCAGGTTATGTAGCAGCAGACACAATAGATTCCTTAGAAGCATAATTTATTCTATCCCAGGCATCCTTTATGGCATGAGTTTTTGACCATTATGACTCTGGATCTCCTAAAATTATACACAAAATTATGTGATGTGAATTTTTCTAAGACTAGGAACTGTAATTTTCATTTTATAGTTAACATGGGATGTAATACTAACCAGTCTGTGAGGTCAAAATGTAGTATTTAATAGCAATGAAGTTTAGAAAACTGGTAAATTTGCAGGAACATCATAGAGGATAGCTTTAATGAACAAAGAAAAGTTAAAGAGTGCTTATATTAAGAATAAGATGAGCCAAAGCAAGACATCTTGACATCTGTTAAAAAGAGGAGCTGGTTAAGGAAATGTGTCCAATAGAAGCTCCCCTACTTATTTTGGGGCAGATCCCAAACTACTTCTTTAAAATAGTGACCCAGAGGTAAACTTTTTTATCTCATCTCTTCGTAGGGCATATAACTATGTTCACTTTTACCCAACGCTAATCAAAAACTGTTGAAAGAAATACTAAAGACCTATATGACAAAAACTTAAAGTCTACCGAATGACTTAAAAGATTTGAACAAATGAAAAAAAGTACCTTGTTCTTGGGAAACTCAATACTATAGAAATAATATTTATTTCTTAAATGAACGATCTTTAGATCTGATGTGATCCTAATCAAAATACTAATAAGATTTTGGTTTTTCATTTTTTTTTTCTTTTTTTTCCTTTGAGA